CGCCTCCCGCGGCCCCCCAGCCGACTCGCAGGCCGGTGTGTGCGGGGCCCCGTGGCGCGCCTGGCCTTCGCCACCGTCTCCTCCCAACCAGGCGCCCCTGCAGCCGCGACCTCACTCGCGCCCCTCCACTCCCGCGGTGTACGGTGCGGAGCGTGGTGGTCCCCTCCTGGCACCCCGGCACACCCCATACCCCACCCCCACGCCATCCCTGCCACAGTATCCCTGCCCTCCCAGGGGGGCAGGTTCATCGCCTGCTCGCCGTGTTTATTAGGTGTGAGCATTCAGCCAGCATGTGTTTCTGGGGACTGAAGTTCAGTTCTCTGTCCCAGTCAGCCAGATAAGGGCTTTCTGTTGAGGACTGTAAAGAGGTACTGGAGTCAGAACGCGGAAACTTTTCCAGCTGATGACAGTGAGTCTAGACACATGCACGCAGACACTGTCGCACACCCTTTGCTCCTTGGGCTCAGCTGTCTGCTTGGAGGGTGTGATAAGCTGGCAGCATAGCCTCGCACTGCAGTGGGGAGTGGACTCACCTGGAGGTCAGAGCCCGGTGCAGCCCTGAGAGCCCAGCCGGCTTGGTTTCTCTGTCAGGCTTCAGTCGCTCTTAGGTAAGAGAGGGGTGATCAGTCAGCAAATGTTTTGTGATTGCATCCATCAGTGAATATTTATTGGGTCCTTTGTGCTTGTGAAGGGTCCTGGAGGAAATTTTAATGTTTTTGGTTTTTTGAGAGATTTTTGCTTGTAGGGCAGTGTGCACTCACCTGAAGGACAGAGGGACAGAAAATGTGAAATCACCCCCAGGAGGGATGGCCATGCTGCAGTCCCTTCTCTAGTCTCCTCCTGGGATGTAGGCATGCTTGCACACGTGCCTGGCCTGAGTTTAAACCACCAGGTCCGGGACTCGAACCATGGTTGACTACGTGGGAGTCCAGCAACCTATTATACCATATGCTGGTCCTTGCTTTAAAATTTTGTTTGTTTGTTTTTGGAAATTTTAGAAAGGCTGTAAGATGACGTTAGTGCGCAGAAGATGAGGAAAACGCATTTATTGAGCACCCATCATGCACTGTGCCGTTCAGTTCTCCCAGTACTCTCATCATCTATACTGTCCTTACCCCTGTTGGACAAGCCAGGAAACTGACACTTAGAAAGGTTAAGTAACCAGGCCAGCAGGTGATGTAGTGGTTAAGGCACTGGACTCCCACGTGGCCGACTGAGTGCAGTTCGAGTCCCAGACTTGGGGGCTTGAAACTCTCGCAGGATACGTTTGCGTGCATGCTCAAAAGCCCAAGAGGAGAATGGAAGAGAAGGGATTCCAGTGGGGCCACCCCCCTGGGAAGAAGGTGATTTCTCACTTCTCTCTCTGGTGAGCCATGTACCCTATGGCAAAAATCTCTCCAAGGAAGGAAGGGAGGGAGGGAGGGAGGGAGGGAGGGAAAGAAAAGAGAGAAGAGGAAAGAAGAAAGTTTAAGCAACGCTCCAGCAAGCACGTAGCAAATGCAGAGCTCCAGCCTGAATCTGCCGACCCCGTTGCCCATCCCAGTACCATGTCATCAGTCTAGATAAAGAAATCTACATAAATTATATATAAATGAACTTGCCAGTTTATGATCCATCTGGGGAAAGCATTAGCACATGAACCAGTTAAAAAACTAACCTGTAGAATGACGTCAACTTTGAAAGCTAGAGTTTCTGGCAGTGGGTTTTGAGGAGGAAGTGGAACTACAATTTAGTGTCACTGATTGTTTTACCCATTGACTCTTCCGTGGGTATGGAATTCACATGTAAATAGTTATTTAGCAATCATTATTGAAAAAATCCAGATCAGTAGCAAACATAGACTGTGGACTTGTGTTATCGGTTTGGTCAGTGTAATGGAAACACTGAAGTCAACCAGAACATTCTATTTTTTTAAAAAAAGCATTATTTGACTTTATTATTATTATTAACTTCACCAGAGAGAGTGAGAGACAGGGAAAGTGAGAAAGCAAGCCACCAGGCCCAGGACTCGTGCCATGGTCAGCCATGTGGGAGTCCAGCACCTCAACCACCACACCACCTGCTGGCCCCCCAGAACATGCTCTGACGCGTTCTATTGCTTGTAAGATGCTGTATGTCTTACGACAGACGTGTCCCGCCAGTCTCTTGCTCCGTTCCTGTGAGTGAGTGTCACGGTAGAGCACCACCCACCATTCCTCGTTTCTTCATTACGGGGCTGACGTGAGGGTCGGAGTGCCTTCACAGTCCCCAGAACGAAAGCTGGACGGCACGGCAGCAGGGTGGGCGCGGTCTTTTTCTTATCTTGTGCAGCGGGACAGAGCTGCCGTTGTGGGGGTACAGTGGCTCGTCCTCTGTGTGCACGTAGAAAAGCACTCTACGTTTTTGCTTGCGTAAGAAACCGTTCTTTGTCTAAAGCCTGAAGTTTGACCCTGGGGAGGAAAGCGCCTGTAACCACCATATTCTCTGCTCAGATTTCTAGCCATGTAGTCACACTCCATGGGATGTGCTCACAGTCCTGTAAAACACGAGCCAGCTGGACTGGCAGAGCATTACGGTGCGGACTCCCTTGTGACTGGGCCTACTTGCTTTTTCACTTTCCCTCTCTCTGGTCAAAATTTTAAAAAGAAGTAATAAATAAAATTAAGCACATACACACACACACACACGAAACAGCCATAGGCATTGCTACCCCTTCTAGGGATGCAAGAATTGCTGCAGATTCCTGTGGATGGGGAGAAAGGCTTGGTGGCAATGGCTGGCCTCTGCTCTCCTTTCTGTGACTGGCGAGGATCCAGCTGACACTTCAATTTTTTTTAAACTTAGTATTATTATTATTTTTTAATTTGACCAGAGAGAGACCTAGGGAGGGAGAAAGGGGGAAAGTGAGAAAGCAGGCCTCGAGGTCCAGACTCGAACTGTGGTCAACCATGTGGGAGTCCAGTGCCTCAGCCACCATCTGGTGCCTCAACCACCACACCACCTGCTGGCCCCCCAGCTGAGGTGGGCTTCGGGAGTCTGTGGGAGGTAACAGGATGGTGGCTGCTGTAGGATGCTGGCTCTGTTACTAACCCGTTGGAGACTCCCTAATGGTGTTTAGTAACTGTGAAGATTTAGTATCGATACATAAACATTGGGGCACCCCACAGCACAGTGGTAAAAGCGCTGTGTAGCAGGAGCCAGATCTCATGGCCAACCACACTTCCAGTCCCTGGAAGTGTCAGAAAACATGCCAGCAGAGGTGCATGCCCAGATCCTGATAAGACAGAGAAATGGAGGGAAACATTGCAGGATGGCCACACCACGTTGGGGTCCTTTCGTTCTTCTGGTGAGCACCCTCTGACAAGTTTTTTAGATGAATACATTGACATTATACCTTAAAGACTTTTGTCACTTAGAGTATTTGTAGTCCTTGATTGCTGCTTGCTTGCATAAGAATTAGATTGCTGCTTGCTTGCATAAGAATTAAGTCCCACAAAAGGAAGAGTCAGTGCTGAGCCCGGGAAGGAGCCATGTGCTCGTTTTCTATGCTCCATAATACAGAGATGAGAGTTTTCCTAATACAGAGGAGTTGGGCCAAGGAGGGTCACATTTTTATCCTTGAACATATAGGAAAGTGGAAAAAGTAAAAGGAATTTTCTGGTTTTGTTCAGTTATTCACTGTCTTTAAAACCCACCTGCAGATACTTTGGTCAGTGACTACGCGTCAGCATGTTGAGTCAAGTGTGCCGCTCTGGGTTCCAGCCCTTCAGCCGACGCCTCCTGTCCTGGGCCCAGTCCACGGCTGTCTCCAGATCATGTATGTACCACAGGAAACTTAGAAGTACGTAGAGATTTTTTCAAAGAAGGGTTTAAAAGAGAAAAAAATGGAAAAGGAAAAACTGGTGGAATTGAACAAATGCAAGGATCAGCTTGCTAGTGAAATGTTCTTGTGTTTTTTTTTTTCTTAAGAATTATTTCATTTGATTGATCATCATCACCATCATTATTATTTTAATTTGCTACAAGGCAGTGCCAGTAGGTAGGTGGTGTAATGATTAAGGTGCTGGATTCCCACATGGCAAACTGTGGTTCAAGACCTGGACCCAGCAGCTTAAAACTCATGACAGGTGTGTGTACAGATGTGCCCAAAATCCCAAGAGGAAAATAGAGAAGGGATATTGCATTATGGCCATGTCCCCTAGGGGATAATTTCTCACTTTCTCTCTGTAGTGAGTGCATATGCCCTATAGCAAAAAGTCTCTCTAAAGAATAAGTAAATTTGCTACAAGGCATGTATACTCACCAGGGAAAGACAGACAGAAGGAAAGAAAAAGTGAGCAAGCAAGCTACCAGGTCTGAGACTCAAACCATGGTAGGCCATGTGGGTAGTCCAGTGCCTTAACCACCACTCCACATGCTGACCCTTACTGTTTATATTTCTATTTATTTATTTATCAGACATTTATTTTATTTGTTATTGTTATTTTCTAATTTGAACAGAGAGAGAGAAAAGAAAGCCGCCAGGTCCGGGACTCGGACTGTGGTCAACCATGTGGGAGTCCAGCACCTCAGCCACCACGCCACCTGCCAACTCCCTGTTTGTATTTTTAAATTGCCTTACATGTAGGCAGTTCTGTTCGTTACCTTGTTTATTTTAATCCGAGAGCCTGTGCATGTGTATATGAGAGAGAGAGAGCAGCCTCCTCCCTTTCCAGCCCTCAGCTCCTCAGAATCCCGGCACCTGCATTGCAGACCTGCTCCACACATTTTCAGGTCGAACTGGGGATCTGAACCTGCAGTCGGCCATACGGCTTCCAGCACTGCATTCCCATCTGCAGAAACTGTGCTACCCGGCTGGTCCGTTACTTTGAATTCCGAGATCATTATTCACTTACAGTTTTCAGAAATAATGCAGAGAGGTCTGCCACACTCTACCCGGTTTGACCCAGTGTCTTCCCGGGGGTCTTGCCTTTGATACCGTTACGATACGGAACATTTTGATCCCCACATGGTCTTTCTCCTTTACAGCGAACCCCTTCCCTATCCCTAACTTTTGGCCACCATTAATCTGTTGTACATTTGTACAATTTTGTCATTTCAACAAGTCATATGAATGGGATCATCTAGTATGTGACCTTTTGAGTTATTTTTTTTTAACTCGGCATAAATCCCTGGAGATTTTGGTGCTGTGTATCAGTTGGCTTCTCTTTATCACTGTATACTATTTAATAGCTCAGGCGTACCACAGAATACCACTCATCCATTAAAGGACATCGTGGCTTTCTCCATGTCTTCTACTCGGAATAAAGCTGCTGTGAACCAGATTTCGTGTGGACATAGTTTTCATTTCTTTGGAATAAATGCTCAAGTGCAATTCTGGCAGTAGTTGCATATTTAGTTTTTATTGGGGGGGGGGTGGTAAATAATTTTTTATTTGGGACCAGCAGTTGGGGCAGTGGCTATGTCACTGACTCCCATGTAGTCGACCGCAGTTTGAGTCCCAGACCCGGTGGCTTAAACTCACACCAGGCACATGTGCGTGCGTGCCCAGGATCCTGAAAAGAGAATGGAGGAGAAGCCATGGGCTGGCCATCCCACCGGTGGGTGATTTCTTGCTTTCTGTCTCTCTGTCTCTCCCTGTCTTTCTGGCAAGCACACATGTCCTATAGCAAAAACCTCTCAAAAAAAAAATTTATTTAATTTTATTTATTATTATTATTTTGTAATTTGACCAGAGAGAGGCAGAGGAGAGAGAAAGGGAAAGTGAAAAAGCAAGTCACCAGGTCCAGGACTCAAACCGTGGTCAGCCATGTGGGAGTCCAGTGCCTTCACCACCACACCCCCTGCCGCCCTGCTTGTTTAGTTTTCTAAGAAAGTGCCAAACTGTTTTTGCAGAACAGCTGTGCCATTTTACATTCCCCCCAGCAGTGGGGGGCAGTCCACTTACTCTGACCCTTCAGTAGCGTTTCATGTCATCACTCTTTCATTGTAGCCCTTTTATTTTAAAAAAAAAAAAAAAAAGACAGATTTTTTGCTACAGGGTGCACATGCTCACCGGAGACAGACAGAAAGCCAGGAGGAATGGCCATGCTGCAGTCCCTTCTCGTTTCTCTTCCCGGGATTTTAGGCACATGCACATGTCCCCGGCATGAGTTTAAGCTGCTGGTCTGGGGACTCCAACCACAGTTGACTCTGTGGGAGTCCAACAACATAAGCATTACGCCATCTGCTGGTCCCCTCCTTGTAGCCCTTTGACAGGGGCGTGGCGATTCACACTGTGGCTTGAACTTGCTTTTCCAAAACGATGTTGAACATGTTTCATGGCCTTAGTTATCATCTGTGGATCGTCTTCACTGAAATGTCTGGTCATGTCCTCTGCTTATTTTCAATTGGATTGCTTTTTTTCCTATTGAATTTTGAAAATTCTTTTTAAAAATAATTATTTAACTTTATTTGTTTATTATTTTTAATTTTCTATGGGGCACAGGCACCCACAAGAGAGAGGGAAAGTGAGAAAACAAGCCGCTACGTCCCTGATTCCAACCGTGGTTGGCCATGTGGGAGTTCAACACCTTTAATCACCATGACACCTGCTGGCCCCTTGATAATTCTTTATATCTTCTAGACAGACTTAATTTTTTTGAAATGTAGTTTATAGATATTTTCTCCCATTTTATTAGTTCATTTATTCTCTGAATGGGGCCTTTTGCAGAGGAAAGTTTATTTTGATGAGGTCCAATTTGTCAGTTTTTTTTCTTATGGATTATACTTTTGGGGTCAAGCCTAAGAATTCTGAGGCTGGTAGGTGGCGTGGTGGTTAAAGGTGACCGACCACGTTTGAGTCCCGGACCTGGCAGCTTGCTTCCTCACTTTCTCTCTCTCTGTCTCTCTCTGATCAAATTTTAAAAATAATCAAATGAATAAATAAATAAAGTAAAATAATTCTTATTTTTAAAAAAAGACTACATTCTTTGTTTACCCTAGATCCTAAAGATTTTTTTAAAGTTTTATCATTTTACATTTCACCATTAAGTTTGTGAATACATTTTTGTTTAAGGGGGCACAGAGATGGTCTAGTAGTTAAAGCCCTGGACTCCCACATTACCGACCACGGTTCAAGTACCAGACTCAGTGGCTTGAAAATCATGCCGGGTGAGTCTCCAAGAGGAGACTGGAGGAGAAGGGATTGTGGGGTGGCCCTCCCCCCGGGGGGGTGATTTCTCACCTTCTCGGTCTTTCTCCAGCAAGTGCACGTGACGTATGGCAAAACCCTAAAAAAAAAATCATTTTTGTATAAGGTGTGAAGTTTAGGTCAAAATTCATTTTGCTTTCTATAGATAGCCAGTTGTTTCAGCATCATTGGTTGAAAAGCTGTTTATGATGTTTGAAGTGGCTTTTTCCTGATGTCACCTAAATCTTATCGGTGTCTCCAGGCTTCACTGGAAGATGACTTGCTTGTGAACTAATCAAGCTTATCATCTTCCAGGAAAATCTCTATTCACCCAGTGTGTTTTTCAAGTCACCAAGTCGAGCACTTGAACTGTGCAGTCGGTCCCATAGGTCCAACCGCTTTAACCCCACACCACAGGCTGCCCAGTGACTTGGTGTGTCTGTCACTTAGGATTAGATTAGGTGGTAGTGCAGTGGTAAAACATTCTCTGTGCAGCCGGCGGATGGGAGTCTGGGGTTTGCTCCAGAAGCCTGAGTACTCCAGGCACCCACTGCCCTGCCCTGGGGCCTGCTGAAGCTGGGGCAGGCTGGCAGCATCAATGCTTTTTTCCCTCGGGACCAGCAGTTAGCATAATGGCTATGTCACTGGACTCCCACATAGTTGACCGCGGTTCGAGTCCCAGACCCAGTGGCTTAAACTCACGCCGGGCGTGTGTGCGTGCGTGCCCAAGATCCCGAGAGGAGAATGGAGGAGAAGGGATTGCGGCATGGCCATCCCCCCGGGGGGGTGATTTCTCGCTTTCTATCTCTCTGTCTCTCTCTGTCTGGTGAGCGCACGCACCCTATAGTAAAAACCTCTCCTCCCCCTGAAAAAAAAAAAAAAAGAAAAGAAAGAAAAAAGCGCTCCAGCTCCTGTTTCACTGGGACAGGCGTCAGGCTTGCTCTGCCACGGCAAGCAGGAAAATTTTAAACGGTGAGATCTTTGGTAACCGGTTACTCCCTCTGTTTATAGTGCTGTGGTTTCTTCAGGAGCATGTTTTAATTGTTTCTTTCTTCCATGAGCAGAGGGCAGGGAGTACCCTCCACAGGGTCCTCATGCCTCAGTCCACCCCGTTCCCACCTGGCTCAGATCGTGGGCACAGGCTGTCCATGGCGTCAGGGAGGTCCCCAGATGTGAGCTAGGAACCTTCTCCTGGGGTCCACCTCTCTGCTGTGCCCTGGTCCTGCCTGCCACCTACATACTTCTCTGATTCTGAAAGCGATGCATTTGTACTGCACAGATTTGGAAAATAGAGGAAAACATAAAGAAAATTTGTATTACCCATAATCCCATCAGATATGATACTAACATTGTGATTCATCTTATTTATTTTATGCCTTTAGACATGTATATGAAACAACAGATCAGGAGCATTTTCTGTCATGAAAAATTCTAACAATAGGGATGGGACCAGCAGTTAGCATAATGGCTATGTTGCTGGACTCCCCCGTAGTCAACCACAGTTCGAGGCCCGGACCTGGTGGCTTAAACTCATGCTGGGTGTGTGTGTTTGTGTACCCAAGATTCTGAGAGGAGAATGGAGGAGAAGGGATTGCGGTGTGGCCAGCACCCCTGGGAGGTGACTTCTCGCTTTCTGTCTCTCTGTCTCTCTCTGTCTGGTGAGCGCATGTGCCCTATAGCAAAAACCTTTCAAAAAAAAAAAAAATTCTAACCATGGGGCCAGTCCCAACAGCTAAAGGAGCCAGGTCGCACGTGGCCACCATAGTTGAATCCAAGCCTCAATGGGGCTTGAAAAGCACAGCAGCACATATGCACGTGTGCCCCAAATCCTGAAAGGATGGAGAAGTGGAGAAGGGACTGTGGTGTGACCACACCCCATTGGGGGTTTATTTATTCTCTCTTACTCTCTGTCTCTACTTCTATGACAAATTTTTAAAACTCCAAAAATGGGGACCAGCAGATGGTGTAGCAATTACATCACTGGACTCCCACATACTTGACCGTGATTAGAGTCCCAGACCCAGTGGCTTGAAAATCACGCATATACGTGTGTGCCTGAGATTGTGGGAGGAGAATGGAGGAGAAGGGATTGGGGTGTGGCCATCGCCCCTGAGGGGTGATTTCTCACTCTCTTTCTCTCTCTTCTCTCTCTCTGGTGAGTGCATGCACCCTATGGCAGAAACTTAAAAATAAAATTAGTAAAAGGTTAATTAATCCTTTTTTCTTATTTTAGATATTTAATTGACCTCTGATTTTTCCTATCATAACTTTTCTTTTTATTTTTTTTAAGAGGTTTTTGCTATAGGGCACGTGCACTTGCCAGAAAGACAGAAACAGAGAGACAGAAAGCGAGAAATCACCCCCCGGGGGTATGGTCACGCCGCAATCCCTTCCCCTCTCAGGATCTTGGGCACACATGCACACGCACCCAGCGTGAGTTTAAGCCACCAGATCTGGAACTCGAACCACGGTCAACTACATGGGAGTCCAGCGACATAGCCATCAGCCAACTGCTGGTCACCCTATCATAACATTCTAATTAACAGCTCTCTGATAAATCTCTTTGTCCTCATCTCTGATTTATTCCTTAGAACAAATTCCTGAGCATAGAATTGCTGGATTAAAAGCTGTGGACGTTTTTAGGGTTTTTGATACTTTTTGCCAGCAGATCTGGAGATTATTTTGCGTGTGCGTGTGCCTGTGACCTGTGTTCGGGGCATGATCCCTGCAGGACTGGAGTAGAGGGTGCGGGTTAGAGCTTTTGATACACGCTGGTTCTAGCCCTTACAGCGATCAGCTGTTTCCTTGGTGCCTACACTGGCTAACACTGAAGTCACGTCGTGTGTTTCTTCTGTTTGTCTGCCCTTGACTCTGTGGGGCCGCAGGCCGTGTCCAGCCCTCAGGCATCAGGCACGTGCGTTCCTGGAGCAACATCCCCTTCATCACCGTTCCCCTCAGCCGTACACACGGCAAGTCCTTTGCCCACCGCAGCGAGCTGAAGCATGCCAAGAGGATCGTGGTGAAGCTCGGGAGTGCCGTGGTGACCCGAGGGGACGAGTGCGGCCTGGCACTGGGGCGCCTGGCGTCTATTGTTGAGCAGGTAATTGCCAGGGTGAAAACTGCTGAGCCCAGACCGAGATTTCTGGTCGTTAGTTTAGGGTTATCGAGTTGTAAACAGCAATCTTGATTTGAGTGAGTACGTGTAACCCCGTCTGAGAACTTTCCCAGTGTCGGTGCCCATGGGAGACGGCGTCCAAGGCGAGAACCACGTCAGGGAGAAGAACTGATGTTGTGATGTCAGCTCTCAGACTTCTCAGCGGCTGGAGCTGCGTAGAAGTTGGGTAGAACTTGGCTTAGTGGTGGCTGGTTTTAAAATTCCCAGGTGACTCTAATTTGTAATCAGGATCGGATACCCGGACAGATGTGTATAAATACTTAGCTTTATTGGTTTGTTTTGCTGGTTTAAAGCCAAAACCAGCCATCCAGAAGTTTGCTGAAAATGTATATTATAAACATGCTAAGCCTGGGTTTCAGCTTTTTTTTTTTTTTGCATCAAAATAAATTTGTACTTTAATTCCATTTTTCACGAATGTTTTGAAGTTCCCTCATATATGACCAGTTCTTTTTCAGTTTGCTGGAGGGCGTGTGCACTCACCGAGGGAGAGGGAGAGCGCAGGGAGACCAGAAAGCACCCCCCCCCGACGGTCCTGCTGCAACACCACCACCTCCATTTCTCCTTGTGGGTGTTTTCAAGCCACTAGGTCCAGGATTTGAACCATGTGGTTGCTGTGTGAGATCTAGTCACCTTAATCGCCATGTCATGGCCGGCCCTTCTCCTTTTTTGAATGCCATAGAACACATGGGAACAGGTGTGTGAGACAGAAATTACCCCTCTTACAACCTGGCCACGCTGCATGCCCCCTTCCATTTCTCTAGCCCTTCAGGATCTTGGGCATGTGCATGTATGCCCAACGTGGTTTTTTTTGGGAGAGGTTTTTTGCTATAGGGCGCGTGCGCTTGCCAGAAACACAGAGAGAGACAGAGAGACAGAAAGCGAGAAATCACCCCCCAGGGGATGGCCATGCCGCAATCCCTTCTCCTCCATTCTCCTCTCGGGATCTTGGGCATGCACACACATGCACCCGGCATGAGTTGTAAGCCACTGGGTCCGGGACACGAACCGCGGTCGACTACATGGGAGTCCAGCGACATAGCCATTACGCTAACTGCTGGTCCCCCCAACATGTTTTTCAAGCCTCCAAGGCCAGGATTGAAAGCATGGCCAGCCGTTCACAACCCAGCTGCCTGTGTATGACACCTGATTTCTGAGCTACGGGTCAGCATGCTTTGTTTTTAATGGGAGAGGGAAAAAAGGATAGGCGCTTTTCACGGGGTCTCGCCCTTGCAGTCCTCTGCCCAGCCTCCTAGTTAGCCAGGGTTACAGATGTGACAGGTGCATCTGGGCCCTTCAGGTTGGTCTGGAATCGACCTGGGACAGCAGCGCCCTCTCGCCTGGGCCCCTGCCCGTGGTTCCGAATCCTGGCTGCACATTCAAGTCATCGACGGCCTGAGGGCCTGGGCTTCACACCCAACCTTTTTTTTTTTTTTTTTTTTAATTTTTTTATTTTGAGGGGTTTTCGCTATAGGGCACGTGCGCTCGCCAGACAGAGAGAGAGAGAGAGACAGAAAGTGAGAAATCACCCCCCCCAGGGGGGGTGGCCACGCCGCAATCCCTTCTCCTCCATTCTCCTCTCGGGATCTTGGGCACACACGCACACGCGCCCAGTGTGAGTTTTAAGCCACCGGGTCCAGGACGTGAACCGCAGTTTACTACGTGGGAGTCCAGCGACATAGCCATTACGCTAACTGCTGGTCCCACACACCCACCCATTTAGTAAGTGGCTTAAGTGGTGGATAGTTTCAAAATCCCCCAGGTGACTAATTTGTAATCAGGGTTGAGTACCTGGACAGATGTGTGTCAATACTTAGCTTTGTTCATTTTGTTGGTTTGAGTCCAAAACCAGACGTGCAGTCATCCCAGAGAGGAAGCTGGAGCTCTTCCATCCCAGCTGTAACTCAACTCTACCTTCCATAGCTTTCCCGAAGAGTTGTTACAGGGGACCGTTAACCTGAAACTTGATGGAACTTTCTCCTTTAATTTTAATTTTCTTCTTTTTCTTTTTAATTAGCCCGACAATCTTGAAATAAACATGAGCTATCAATGTGAAGATTTCCTCAGTTCAGTATTTGAAAGTACATGATTTCAGAGAATACTCACGTGAGGATTTTATTTAAAGGCTGAGAGAGCTAGCCAGGTGGCGTGGTGGTTAAGGCAGCTGAATCCCACGTGCCCAGTTGCACACTTCAAGTCCCAGACCCTGCAGATTGAAAAACATGCCAGGCCGAGTGTGCGTGCGTGCCCAAAATCCTGAGAAGAGAATGGCGGAGAAGGGATTACAGGGTGGCCATCCCCCCTAGGAGGGATTTCTCACTTTCCTTCTCTCTCTCTCTTTCCAGCAACATGCCCTATAGCAAAACTAAACAAGTGTAGAGGAGCTCTGGGTTCGAGGAACACCTGTGTGCAGCCACCAGGGTCTTTATTTGAGTATGGACCACGCCGTATGTCCGGGCTGGCTCACTGAGATCTGTGCAGGGAATCCTGGCTTCAGGAGGGCTCGGAGCAGTTTCCAGTAGAGTCACTAAGGCCACCTAGCCATGCAGTGAACCCATGCTGACCACAGACTGTCGGTAAAGAACAGACCTAAGGGATCACAGGGGAGTTTTAAACTTTAAGTATCTTACCCGTATCATGGCCAAGAACAGGGATCAGCAAACTTTTTATCTAAGAGGCCAGATAGTAAATAATACAAGATTTCTGGGCCATATGGTCTCTGTCTCAGTTGCTAAGCTCTGCCAGTGTAGTGTAGAGACAACCATAGGTGATATGTAAATGAATGAATGAATATGGCTGTGATTCAATAAAACTTTATCTCCAAAAACAGGCAGTAGGCCGATTTGGCCAGCGGTCAAAACCAGGCACCCAGGGATCCGCTCAGTACAGCTAAAGCTCTTCCATCGAGCTATAACTCAGCACTATCCTCCATAACCATATTTTCAGGGTTTTTTTTTAAATCAACTTTCCTGAATTGTTGATATTAGGAAACTTTGAGCTTGAAACTTGAGGAATAGTCTTCTTATATTTTCTGTTTTAAACACTTATCAAATATGCCTGCCGGGTTGAGTCCATCAGATCAGTTGGATTTAACACGTTTTCATCCAGGGCGACATGGTGAGGAATGTCTCGGAGCGCTCGCTGTTGTCTCTGCCCTTGCAGAGCCAGAACTGGGGCTCCCAGAATCAGTAGGTGGTGGTTCAAGGCAGGAATTATCCAGATGAGAAGGCCCTGGTGACGGCGACTGGTCCAGAGATGGGGAAGGTAGAGGAGAGTGTGGTTGTTCTTGGGGCTTCCTAGGAGAGGTGGGGCAGCCTGGGCTTTGGCGGCAGGTAGGGGCTGGGCCAGCAGGGAAGAAGTTCACTCTGTAAAGTGCACAGTGACAGTGCCTCTGGGGTTGTGTGACCTGTGGGTTCTGGGGAAGCTGTGGCTCCTGGCGTGGCCTCCAGATAAAGGGCAGACGAGGATGAGCATAGCATATGCAGTCCTGCAGGAAGCAGGTCGGGAGCAGTGCTGCTGGTCTCCCGGGAGAGTGTGGCATCCAGTGGGCTCTGGAGCCTAGTAGAGGAGGCGGGGCTTAGTCTCCAGAGCAGCTGGGAGATGGTGAGAAGGGGAGAAACTTGCTGAACACAGTAGGGAAATCTAGTGATCTGCTCAGCCGCCAGCTCCCCTTCCAGGGCTGTCCGTGGACCTCCCAGAAGGATGGAAGGGCTAGCTTGGTCAGGGCACTGCCTAAACATGCAGCGTCGACTGTTTTGTCACATGTGCCTCATGGCATTAGATGGGCTCGGGAGCCGACTCAAAGTGGCTTCTAGTGGCCAGAGGGAGGACGATTTGAACGTCAATAAAGGTAGCCATTGCAATGCAATGAAATTGTGTCACCAAAGGTCTTTAGTTACGCCATAAGATAAATGACAAGAGTTTGCAATCATACTTTTAAAAACCTCGGGACCAGCGGTGGGCGTAATGGCTATGTTGCTGGACTTTCATGTGGCCAACCGCGGTTCGAGTCCCAGAGGCTTAAACTCACACTGGGCGCATGTGTGAACGTGCCCAAGATCCAGAGAGGAGAAGAGGAGAAGGGATTGTGGCATGGCCATCCCCTCTGGGGGGTAATTTCTTGCTTTCTGTTTCTCTATCTCTTTCTGGTGGGTGCACGCACCCTATAGCAAACCACTCCCTCCCCCCCCCAAAAAAAAATTCACTGGTTCCCTAACTTCATTTAACTTTATTTATTTATTTAATTTGACCCAAGAGGAACAGAGTAAGAGAGAGAGGGAAATTAAGAAAACAAGCTGCCAGGTCCAGGTCTCGAACTGCTATCTGCCGTGTGGGAATCCAGCGCCCTTAACCACCACGCCGTCTGCTGGCCCCAGGTAGTTGATATTTCTTACAGTGTTAATATTTAGAAATGTTACCAAATACTAAAATATTTACAAATGAAATAGTCTGTCTGGGACCTAGGATTTGCATTAAAATAATGGTGGATAAAGAGGTTTTGGGGAACTAGAGAATGGCCATGAGAGAGCACTGCTGAAACCGGGTGGGTTTAAATTTTCTGCTTCCCGCCTTGGTTAGTATGAAACTCTCCGGGATGAAAGTTGCTGTTTGAAGTCAGGGCTTGGCACAGCTGCATGTGAGGCCCTGAAGTAGGGTCACGCGTCAGGAGGAGTGGACAGGTCAGGGCCGCCGGCTGCCTTGCATCCTGAGTTTTCAGCTCTCTCATGCGAATCTTTACATGGTAGGAAACACAGTGACAGAGAGACAGCACAGGGCTGGCATCCTCCCTGTCTCAGCAGAGACAACCCCAGGCATCAGGTGTCCGGGATGCAGGCTCGGCCTCTGTCAGGACTTTGCTTCTGGCCTTTACTTCCTGGAGCAGCTAGGCCTTTTGCATTATAGACTCCCTGCAGATATCACCACGTCCTGTTGGTGCCAAACCTGGCCACACACCAGAAGCCCCGTTAAAAACATCCGGGTTCTGTCTTTCAGCTGTTAAGAGATACGTGAGGCAGCATGTAGGACTGGGTGGTTCTTCAGAGCTGGTCCAGGGCTGGTCCCTGCAGCAGCATTTGCAGTTGCCTCATTCGTCCACCCTACCTGGGCCTGTGGTGAGGCCGGGAAAGACGTCGGGTGACCCGCCCTTCTCCTTCTCGTTGCAGGTGTCGGTGCTGCAGAATCAGGGCCGAGAGATGATGCTGGTGACCAGTGGAGCCGTGGCCTTCGGCAAGCAGCGCTTGCGCCATGAGATCCTGCTGTCTCAGAGCGTGCGGCAAGCCCTGCACTCGGGGCAGAACCAGCTGAAGGAGATGGTGCGTGCTGCCTCCCACCCCCGCGGCAGTCTGCGCCTGCGTGCAGCCTCCCGCCCCCACCCCCGCCCCTTGGCAGTCTGCGCCTGCACGCTG